ACACACAGACACACACACACAGACACACACACAGACACACACAGACACACAGACACACACACACAGACACACACAGACACAGACACACACACAGACACACACACACACCCCCAAACTCTCAACATTTCACTTCTTTCAGGAAATATTTTCTAGTGGATTAGAAAGTGCAAATGCTCTTGAACTCTGCCTGGTCCAGGGACCCAGCCTGGACAGCTATAGTCTTGTTTCTAGAGCAGCAAAAGCACTGATATGTTCCCTTGCCAACAATATTTATTGCACATACATATTGAATATTTGTTTACTTTTCTAGATGGCTTTGATGCTGTATTTCTGTCTGCATCAGCAAATTTTTATGGGGTTAGGCTCTGTCACTTATTCTGATAGAACATATTTAGCCCATTATGACAGAATTTTGAGCAATAATTATTAATGCTGATGCCTCATAAAAACGATGTGCAATGAAAAACAGTCTGATAGACTAAATACTATTTGTAACAGTCTGAGGAACTAACAGTTTATTAACACAGATATTCAGTACCTCTTGACCCTTCTGATCCAAACAAGTTTGTGCATTTGCCAGCTCTTGATCCCGAAGGTCTAACCTTGTCTCCAAGGCCCGCATCTTCCTTTCCCAGTCCAATTTCTTGTTGCTCACCATGATGTCAATTTGTTCCATTAATTCCTGAAGCTCGGCCTCACAAGGAGAAGCTCTGCCAATTATAGAAAAGTAAAATGCATTTTTAAAAAGTTAAATGTGAGGACAGGAAAATTGATTACATGGCTCTGAATAAATCATTATTTCCTCAAATTGTTCAATTATGTAAATAAGAAGTTCGAAAGCTAGAGGTTAATTTTTTAAATTAAAACTAAAAGCTAATTTCAGATCTATCAGTGTATATACATTAAAATTTTTAAAATGACATCTCCTAAAACACAGCTGCTGTCATAATACAATACAATACATCAACAAAGTCACTGTCTGCATTCTCTTCTTAGTGCAGGTGGTAGCTCACGGGTCTCCCTGAACCAAGACTTCTTACCGAGACAAGGGAGTTCTAAAATGAAAATACACTGTTCTGCAAATTTTATGTCAGGAATAAATTTGCGATAAAAGTTAACTAAATAAACAAAAAAGCAAATAACATTTTTAGAGTGCACGAATTCTAAGGAAAATTCTAATTATGGAAAATGGCTCAGTGTTCTTGCATGTGAATATCCATGTACCTATGTCTGTCATAACTTGAGGAGGTTCGACGGCAGGCAAACTGGGACTTGAGCTGTGCCTGTCAAGGATAGAAGAGCAAGCCCAGTCAAGATAGGGCCAGATTCAAGGGTACTACCTGGCTATGGGGCTGCTCCTCCAGGAGGGGAACTTGGTGTGATCTGACCAGTGTCTGGAAGGAATCTGATCAGGCAGGTGTGGTCAAAGAAATGTAAGTCTTTAGACAGCGGGGGAACTATTAGTCAGAGGTGGCAATATGTTGGGTCTCTGAGGGTCTGTTGTGTTTGAAACAAAACCCCTGGTAATAACTAGAACTATAGAGACTGAGAGGTGGTGAGAAGAGAGGTTGCTGGGTGCTTGCAGGGCAGGATTCTCCTTCACAGCAGCTGAAGCATTCCCCAGGGGCCTGGCATAGTCTAGTCATCCACACTGGAGAGCAGGTAGCTATTGAAGCCTCAGACTTCAGCCTAAGGAGCACACAGGTCCATACTGGGAAAGCAAGTTATTTCAGTATCCATTCAATGGTGGCAAGGGGGCTTCTGATATATTTGTGTAGCTGGGGGGAAGGTAGGTGCAAAATGACATTTCCTCCATTTAGTTTCACCAAGTCAAAATTTCAGGGCTAATTAAGGATCATTTAGCATTTTGAAAAACTGAGGCCCAGTAAGGTCAAAGTCACACATTAATTAGTGTCAGAGTCAGAACTAGATTGTAGGCAGCTGCTTCCCATCTTAAGCTCCATTCTGTATCCCACACAGGAAAAGACATGGTGTTTTGAATGAGAACTTGCTTGAAATGTATAATACAAATTAGTTCCATTGCAATAGGGTTAGAAACAGGTATTAGAACCCAAAGAACTCAGGATTTCCAGAACTGCTTTCTGAAATACCCAGAGTCAACCCAAATAAGGGATGTCCCTTTGAGTGGTTTATCTAACAGCAGAGAGGTTTCAAATACAAAGGCCATTCTGAAGTCTTCTAGCATTCCTGGGGCAAGGCCCAAAGACTCTCAAGTTTTACTTAAAACCTAAAACAAATCTGAGGGAAGGAAGTACTAATTCCTCTATAAAAAACTTGATTGCATTTTAATTGGAGTTATGATGTGGGCGAAAACAACGGAACAAAAAGAATTTTCTTTTTCATAACAACATGTATCGCCCTTTGCTGTAAATACACTCTGAAAGGAAAGGACTAGATCAGCCTTGTTCACTGTCTCTCCAGAGCTCAGCACAGTGCCCCAGGATGTAACAGATGCTCAAAGAATCTTTGAAAACTGAACAAATGAGTTCCTTTCATCGCTCTCTTCTTGGCATGTAGGAATGCACCATGCTAATGGAATTAAAATATAGGCTCAAAGTAAAGTGTGGCATAATGTAAGCTACTCCTTCAATATTGTTAAACAAATAAATGGTTTATTCCTTGGTTTTGACTATGCTATTCAAAAGTTAGGATAGTGCGCTCTTGGGGTGGAAGGACTTCTACAAGTCATCTAGTCCAACTACTCCTATAGTGTCTGCACATCTTCCACACAAATGTTTCTTAAGTGAATCGTCTATCATACCCTACTGATCAGATTCAGTAGGTCTAGGACAGAGCCCAAGATTCTACATTGGTAATAAATGCAGATAACCACTGACTGAGATTGTATCCAGATAGTTTGAGTTTTTAAAAGCTCTTTCCTATACTGAAGAAATTTTTCATCCACTAGTCCTAATCTGACCCACCAGTACTATTCAGAACAAATGCTTTTTCAATACAGTCAACCTTAAAGTACTTGAATTCGGTTAACAATATGATGAATACAGGTATTGGTGTGCCCCCAGATTCTTCTGTACCTTCTCTTCTCAATGTTCAATATTAGAGCCTGAACATATAAACAGACAATGGCCAGAATACATGATAACAGACTCCAACCCATAACCTCTACAGCAATAGTCCTCAAAGGGGCAGGACTTGGTCAATGACTGAGAGCTTCCTTAATTTCCCCCCCACTTCCAACTCAGGATCAACTGGAGAAAGCCAAATATGTTCCCCAAATCAATCACGTAGGATGTCCTGATTCTAATATCCTGCTTCCAGCTTCTCTGTGCCAGCAGCCTCCAATTAGGGCATACCTGAAGGCTTTGTTCACCACTGAGCTTTTCTACTCCCCTGCCTGCCTTTGAGTCTCTGCCAAATGCAAGTGATGGCTGCTGACTCCCTTGCTCTAGCAAGCTATGAATGAAAGAGGCTTCATTTGTTCTCATTTGGGTGGTCTTTGTTTATTTCCACAAGTATCTTTATTTCCTTCAACTGCTCATAAAGATTGTTTTTCTCTCTCACTCACTACCTAGCATATTGCTTGGAAAATACTAGATGGTTAATATACATGTGTTGAAAGAATGAAAACATGAATGACTACGGTAAGATTTTCAGACCCTTCGTAACCCGGAACGCTCTCCTCTGTCTGTCGATTTCCTCCTTGAAGTATACTACTCAGAATTTTAGCATAAAACCCTAGGCATGATCTAATCGGCTTGGAGCAGGCTCGCACATTCTTTGCTTTAGGTGCTATATACTCTTATTCAAACAGATGAAGATCAGCTTTGAACAGGGGAGGGAAAGGGCAAAGCAGTGCTCTCATACCTTTCAAGGTGCTTCTACTCTTGTCTAAACACCTTATCTCTTTTTCATACATGCTATGAGTAAAGCCACCCAGTCACTATGTTGTGCTTGTGTAGTTTTTTTTTTTTTTT